TTTGCCACCGTGTTGTGCATGGCAAATCAAACTATAAAAAACTGTAAAGATATAAAAAACAGGATAAACTAATTGGGAGTAAATAAACTTTGCACCCTGAAAAAATGTCACTGAAAAGTACTTGTTATTATTACAATGGGTAGATAAATCTTCACTTGGCTCTCAAAACTTGTGGCTTTGTGCTAGTCTAAACCAAGATACGCAAATTACTACCTAGTCTTTCGAAGATTCAATTAAGACTATCTTTAGTGGATGTCAGCAATGCATTTCCAACATTATTTTTAGAATTTTCTTTTTTCTATTAATTTTTTTTAATTAATCAATTAATTTTTTTATGGGTTATCAATATTTTGCATCTAATTTAAACCAGAAAATGATTTTAGATTGTAAGAATTTGGAGGCGATAATGATAACTTACTGATACAAGTCCTACTATTTAACCCATAAATGGGGAGAAGAAGCGGTGGATGCATACCTTTCCCAAGGATATTTATGGGTTAATAATTATAACGAACTCGATTGGAATTGGAACACGACTCTTTGATTTCCACTTTCGAGCCGTTAACCATTACACCATCCGCACATCCACATTTACAGTACATGCTATTCCCAAGCGGTCACCCATCTAGATACTGACCAGACTTGACGTTGCTTGACTCCGGTGATCGTACGGGAATCGGTGTTTCAATGTGACGTAGCCGTAAGCCTCTAAATAAGCTTTATTCAATTAAACTGAAATTTTTAGAATAAAATGTCGATAAAATATCTAGAATTAATGTTTTATTCTGTTTCTTCTAAAGAATACATAAACATTGTGGCGTTTTTCTGGTTCCAAGATTTTTTTAACCTCTTTTTTTTTTATAGTAAATGATAAGGCCGAAGTTTTATTTGGATTGTTAAGTGATATATATCGGCAAATTATATTTTGAATGTGTTTTCCCGTCTTGTTTATAGTTCTGGTGAATCTCATTATGGTAGAATACTTTAATGGTTTATTTATATCGGTTATTCTTGTTCATAACAGGATAGATAATTATGTCTTTTTTTTCTCCTCTAAAATTCGTTAAGGCTAATTTTATTTACTCGTCGACATGGTTGGGTAAATGATTGTTTATAAGTGTTTCTTTAATGTTGCTTAATACTTTATGAAATAAAGAAAAGAAGAATTATTTGTTTTTTTTCTTTGTCTTCTTTTTCTTCTTTCTATTAGACCTCTTTTTCATTGACTTTTTTCTTTGCCTTCTTTTTCGTTGTCTTTTTTGCTTTTCTTTGTCTTCTTTTTCCTTTTTTTTGTTTTTTTGTCTTCTTTTTCCTTGTCTTTTTTGTTTTTCTTTGTCTTCTTTTTCCTTTTTTTGCTTTTCTTTGTCTTCTTTTTCTTTGTCTTTTTTGCTTTTCTTTGTCTTTTTTCCTTGTTTTTTTTTTTTTTTGCTTTTCTTTGTCTTTTTTCCTTGTCTTTTTTGTTTTTCTTTGTCTTCTTTTTCCTTTTTTTTGCTTTTCTTTGTCTTGTTTTTCCTTGTCTTTTTTGCTTTTCTTTGTCTTTTTTCCTTGTTTTTTTTTTTGCTTTTCTTTGTCTTTTTTTCCTTGTCTTTTTTGTTTTTCTTTGTCTTTTTTTACTTGTTTTTTTTTTGCTTTTCTTTGTCTTCTTTTTCCTTTTTTTTTTTTTTTTTTTTGTCTTCTTTTTTTTTTTTTTTTTTTTTTTTCTTTGTCTTTTTTTCCTTGTTTTTTTTTTTTTTCTTTGTGTTTTCTTTTTCCTTTTTTTTTTTTTTGTTTTTCTTTGTCTTTTTTTTCCTTTTTTTTTTGTTTTCTTTGTCTTCTTTCCTTTTTTTTGCTTTTCTTTGTTTTTTTTTCCTTGTTTTTTTTGCTTTTCTTTGTCTTTTTTTTTACTTGTTTTTTTTTTGTTTTCTTTGTCTTTTTTTTACTTGTCTTTTTTTTTTTTCTTTGTCTTTTTTTTTTTACTTGTGTTTTTTTTGCTTTTCTTTGTCTTTTTTTTTTCCTTGTCTTTTTGTTTTTCTTTGTCTTTTTTTTCCTTGTTTTTTTTGTTTTCTTTCTTTTCTTTTTTACTTGTCTTTTTTGTTTTTTTGTTTTTTTTTTTTTTTTTTTGCTTTTCTTTGTCTTCACTTTCGTTGACTTTTTTCTTTTCTTTGTCTTCTTTTTCCTTGTCTTTTTGGCTTTTCTCTCTCTTCTTTTTCCTTGTCCTTTTGGCTTTCATTTGCCTTCTTTTTCTTTGTCTTCTTTTTCTTTTTCTTTCTTGCTTTTTGTCTTCTTTTTTCCTTTGACTTTTTGCTTTGTTTTTTTTTATTGTATTTTATATTTTTGTTAAGTCTTTATTTCTTGTCTTCTTTGTTCCTTTGTTTTTCTTTGTCGTCCTCTTTCTTTGTCTTTTTCCATTTCGCTTTCCTTTCGTTCTTTTTCCTTATTTTGTGCTTCTTTCTCTTTTTTGGGACTTTGACATACCATGCCTTGTCTTTCTTGGTTTTCTTTCTTATATTTTTCTTTGTTTTCTTTTTCTTACATTTATTTTTTCTCTCTTTCTTTTTTATATGTTAGAATATTCACTTTTTAAATTAAGAAAACAACATTTTACTGGTGTTTTTTTTTTATACGGTAAAAGATTGCAACTATAAATATCGTCTAAAACATCAAAGAAAGGGAATCTGTTATTTATGGCACATCCAGAAGTGTATTGTTCTCTTCTTTTCAATTTCGTCTAAGTTTTTCGTTATGAAGACTGTACATGGACATATTTAATATACACCACAGATTAAACATAATTATTTTTAAAAAAATGTTCTCTAAGTGAATTATCTATAAATTAAACAAAGCAGGACTGAGAGGCGAACCCATTGCTATGCCGTCAATTTGTATATAAATATTGCCATGATAATCATAAAAAGGTACTTGTAATGTGCAGGTTAGAAGAGGTTTACGTAGAATTGTTGGCTTGACACGTGGATGTTGGAGTAACGTATTTAATATTTTCATATTATTCCCTCTGTCTTTTTTACAGTTACTTTCACGGTAACTGCTCCGATGAGCTGCTTTCTCTGGTTCCCAGACTTTATGAATCCAAGCGCCCTACGAGGCTGGCATCTCGCTCTCACCCGTTCACTGTCAAAACTGTCAAATGTAGCAGTCTCTTCTACTCCAATAGCTTCATGTCTCGCACTTCTCGCCTGTGGAAATCCCTCCCCGTTTCCTGCTTCCCTGATAGGTGTAATCTCCAACTATTCAAATGTAATGTCAATCGACGTGACTTGATCTATCCCCTATCTTTCTCTTCATCCTTTCTGTTGAAACTTGACTAATGCATGGAATAATAATACATCACAAAATGTACTTAGAACAAAATGTATTGAAACAAGAAAGTGTACACAATATTTACATATAGTCTTTTGTATATTCCTGGTAAGACCATTCCTGGAGAATGTGTTGACTTAGTCGCAGTCGGGCAGAGTCTCTGGTTGAATCTCTTGATTCCCCCCTCTCTTCCAGGTACCAACCATATTTATATGGTCGGTACTCCACTATGCAAATTAGGTGGATCCTACCACAACACTTTCCTCTATCACTCCTCTTTGCTCTCACTCCAACTCTGTGCAACCTTTTGCATGCTAGTGGCTTCCCGCCTTGCTTGGGGTGAAATGCTTAAAAAAGAAAAACACTAAAGCAAAACTGTAAAACTGTTTAAATCTTGTATATATCAGAGAGCTTTTGGCTATTCTCCTTGATGGTTAAAAGAACAGCCGAAAGTTCTTAAATATATGGAACACTAAGACAGTTTTTACATCATTTATGTCCAGGAAAAAAACTCTTATACGTACATAAGAAAATTTTAATAAAATGGTTAACCGCAGTACTTTATCAGTCGTTTTTATTTAAACCTCTATAAAAGAGAGACTGCTAGCCACAGACACAATTTTTCTTTTTAAACCGTTCGTGGGATTTGTGTCAAATTCTTGGTTAAAGAATAAATACTCTTTCCGTCTTATTCTTTTGATAAAGCTTTCTATTTCTTTTTATTAAATTCAGCTTGTATATAAATGGCTAAGTTCTTTAAGGCGTAGTCAAGCCTAAATTTTCCATTGCCCATGTTAGGTTATAAATGTAGCGAAAGACCTCTACTGTTTATCAAGAATTAAATATAAAATTAACCTCTCCGCATAATTTAGTAATTTCCGTTTAGTGAGACGAATCTTAACTTTATATAACGTAGCATTAAACAACTTTTTACTCCATTCTAAAATATGTTGAGTATTTCTATGTTATAGTGATTGGAAACTCAGTGTTTAGTGTGGAGCGATTGTTGTTACCAATGAACGGTATCATTACAGTATTGAGCGATCTATGGAAGAAAGGAATATTCTCTCAGTTTTATTTCCCCCATTATGCGTATTATTATATCTATAACATAGTAACGCCTTATTTCACGGACGGAACAGAATAACTGAGAGAAAACAAATGAGAAGCAAGCTTTGTTCTGAGAGAGAGTTTTTATACTGCTAAGGCATACACAAAATTATATACACATATCTACATGCGCCCCATACAGAGAAACTGTGTATGCAACAACAAGCAGTGTGAAAATTTTCGAAAAGTGTGAGTCTTACTTGTAATAATTCCCAGCGGGAATTTAAGCGGCCGGTTGCATTTTCTGTGTTTCTGGAGAAGTCATATTCAGCATTTTTGGGAAGGATATTTTCCCAAAGGTAAACGGTGCCATTGGCTTGTAAGCTACCCATATAATAGCCACTAACCCGGTCAGAAAGCCAGGAGCAGAGTTCGGGCGAGGCAACAGCTTGGTTTGAATCCGGGAAGCACAAGGACGGATTGGCCAGTTTTCTTATAGTATGGGGCCACTCGTCATACATTGAGAGAAACCATTAATATGTAATGCCATTTTTTTAAAAATTGATATCCTCTCATATGGCAGTGACATGCAAATACGATCGAGACAACCTGAGCCATTTGAAGTTTTGGAATATTAGTTCATTGCAAAAGATCGTGCGTCGCTGGCATTTGTTTTGGTGCCGATTTCCGTTGTGTTCGAGATCGAAAGCTTTCATCGTTCGGTTGCTAATCGGACTTTGCTGAATGTTGACGTTTTGTTCACAAACAAATGCTTTAAACATGGAGGATGAACAATTGCTCTTTTCCTTTTTATAATTGCGGGAAGCGTCGACACAAAAAATATATGAAAGTTTCTCCGAATCGTGCTCCAGGTTTTCCGATGGTCAAAATCAGAATTAATCGGGGTGATTTTAATCTAAACACTCGACCACGCTCCGGGCGACCGTGCAACGTCAAAAAAGAAAAATCTGTTTGCCATTGTGAAAAATGAATATTTCGACGGAAGAGTTTGCTAAGAGTTTTAAAGTCGACATTTCAACTGCCTTACACCATTTTACCGACTTTGCTTCGTTTCCAAACTCGACACGCGGGTGCCATATTCTCTGACGGAATCGAACAAGCAGCGATCTCATTGCTGTGACACAACGAAAAGGAGCCGTTCTTGTGAGAAATTGTTACATACAATGGAAAATGGATAGTTTATGATAAGGTTCGACGTAAACAGCGCTGGTTAACAAGCTTGTGAATGTTCAGAACCCGTGGTTAAAACTTGCATCCGCACCCATGCCTAAAGGGAGCTTGCATCCCCACAACCGTTGGATAAAGGGGGCTTATATCAAAACGGGTGACTAAAGTGAGCTTTGCATACGAACCCCTTGGCAACGGGGGTTTGCATCCAAACCTGTAGCTGACGGGGCTAAAGCGGCTTTGCACCCGAACTCGTGGTTAAAGTCGGGTTGCATGCGAATCCGTGGCAAAAAAAAACGCTTGCATGCAAATCTGTGGCTAAAGAAGACCTGCATGCGAATCCGTGGCTAAAGAAGACCTGCATACGAATCCGTGGCTGAAGGTGGCTTACTTCCAATGTAGGTGCTGCCGTTAGGTGTGATTACAAGGGTAATTCTTATTGAGCTTCTTCGAGCCAGCAAAACAATAACTGTCAAAAAGGGATCAATCTCGATGCGGCTATAAAAGAAAAACGGCCGATTTTGGCAAATCGAAAAGGTGTCGTTTTCCACCATGTCAACGGAAGATCACATGTTGTAAAACAGACTCTGCAGAAGCGAAAAAGTATCGAAGTGGGAAAGCCTCTAGAGCTCACCGTATTCTTCTGACTTGGATCCTTTAGAATGTCATTTGTTTTGGTCTCTAAAGACCAGTTTAAATGACAAAGAATTTGACTGTACAATTAGTCGAAAACTCGCTCACAACCGTCTTCCAAAGAAAAAATAAATACCCCCCCCCCCAATAAAAAACACGGACTTTCTGCGAAAATTGCATCAACACACTTGTAGAAGGATGGGAGACAGTTTTTGTTTTAAAACAATGGGGACTATATACTTGACTAAGAAATGTTTTTTGTGAGTATGTAAAAATTTTATTTCTAATCGGGTACGAACTTTGGCAATGATTAAATAGCATAGAGTAGATGTAATTCAAGGCGTCAATCAAGAAAGTTTATGTGATTAACAATGTTCATATGAGGGCACAGGAATGTATTGTTGCCAGGGAATTAATTTTAAAAGATGTCGTCCATGAATATTTTGTGTGTTTTGAATTATATCACACTGTATTAATAGTGATAGATAGATAGATAGATAGATAGATAGATAGATAATGAACCAAATGAGATAGATAGATAGATAGATAGATAAATAGATACCAAACTGAAATAGATAGATAATGAACTAACTGAAATAGATAGATAGATAGATAGATAATGAACCAACTTAAATAGATAGATAATGATTAAACTGAAATAGATAGATAGATAGATAGATAATGAACTAACTGAAATAGATACTTAATGATCAAACTGAAACAGATAGATAGATAGATAGATAGATAGATAGATAGATAGATAATGAACCAACTTAAATAGATAGATAGATAATGATCAAACTGAAACAGGTAGAGAGATAGATAGATAGTAATGAACCAACTGAAATAGATAGATAATGAACTGAAACAGATAGATAGATAATGAACCAACTGAAATAGATAGATAGATAGATAGATAGATAGATAATGATCAAACTAAACAGATAGATAGATAGATAGATAGATAGATAGATAGATAGATAGATAATGAACCAACTTAAATAGATAGATAGATAATGATTAAACTGAAACAGATAGATAGATTGATAATGAACTAACTGAAATAGTTAATGATCAAACTGAAACAGTTAGATAGATAGATAATAAACCAACTTAAATAGATAGATAGATAATGATCAAACTGAAACAGATAGACAGATAGATAGTAATGAACCAACTGAAATAGATAGATAATGAACCAAACAGATAGATAAAATAGATAGATAGATAATGATTAAACTAAACAGATAGATAGATAGATAGATAGATAATGAACCAACTTAAATAGATAGATAGATAATGATTAAACTGAAACAGATAGATAGATAGATAATGAACTAACTGAAATAGATAGTTAATGATCAAACTGAAATAGATAGATAGATAGATAGATAGATAGATAGATAGATAGATAGATATAAACAGGCTGAAAAAGGCAGAGATTTTATATGAACAGACTGAAAAAGATAGATAGATAGATAGATAGATAGATAGATAGATAAAGGTTGAGATAGATTGGTTGAATAGGTTGGAACAGATAGATCGACAATTTTCTTTTCTGTCCCGTATCCCTTCAGTACGTAGGCGACCATAGCTCTCCACGTCCTCCTATCCATTGTAGCTCCCAATAAGTTTTGCCCCTTTGCTACATGTCTCAGACTCTGTTCTGCCATCCACTTGCTTAAGCCCATTTGGTATGTCACGTAGCTTTCACATGTCTCTATTCCCTCTATTCGCCCTGTGGGTATCAAATTCTGCAAGGCCTCCTTTCTTATTAGATGTCCCAAAAATTGACCTACATCTTCCTGGTGTTAAGTATAAGCTTATTGTTTGTATCCTCTCCAAAACCTCATCGTTACTCAACACGCTCGGTCCATGATATCCTTAGCATCCTTCTGTAGAACCATACCTCCGTTGCCTCGAGATTCTTCTTCATCTTTGAGGAGACCGTCCAACATTCGATGCCGTAAAGGAGGGCAGATATCACGTAGCAGTTCAGGACTCTTTACTTTGTTGCCAAAGAAATCCTTCTGTCTCGTAATACTCTGCGTAGATTTTGGAATGCGAATTTGGCCATCCCAATACGTCTTCGGGTCTCATCATCGCACTTCATCATTCTCTGTCAGAACAATTCCCAGATATTTAAATTTTTGCACTTGCTTCATTTTAGTGTCCGCGTCCTGTAAATCGCATTTCGAGCTCATCCTTTTACTGATGACCATGCATTCTGTTTTCTTGTAGTTTGTGCTTAGTCCTTTCTTCTTGCTCTTCTTCGCAGGAGGTTTTGTAATTTCTTTTCCGTGTCTGCTATCAGCACTCTGTCATCTTATGTTTAAGATTGTGGACACCAATGATGAATCCCGGTAGAATTTCCAATACTCTCAGAACTGCCTCACAGTATAGGTTGAATAAGTCCGGTGAGAAGACACATCCTTGCCTTACGCCCCTTTCTATTTTTGTATATCTGCTGAACTCATTCTCTATCAGCATGCAGGTTGTTTGCTGCCAGTATAGGTTCTTGATTATTTTAAAATCTTTCCAAAATATATCAATGTTGCAGAGTGTTATGGAACCTTACCCATAATAACATGATGGACTATTTCATACGTAATAAATACTGCGCCTCTAGAGGAAGCAGGGAGTTCAGTCTGAAGTCTGGAGTGAGGTCCGTCAGGAGTCTGTCAGTCAGTCAGAGCGAGCAAGTCAGTCAGTCGAGTCAGAGGCAGTCCGAAACAGAGTCACGTTCAGACTATTACTACTAAACCTGATTGTTCGTACTAACATTTTTCTTCTTCTCTGTATATATTCCTATTTGTAATATATCTGTGTTATTCCATATCCACCATCGAGTTCTTCTTTATAGGTTCTACCTTGGACTATCACCGTGGTACAAGGAACCGGACCATAACACAGAGCATTTCCAATAGATCTTTGTGGCAAACTTTGTCGAATACCTTTCAATAGTCTATAAAACATATCGCGTTTTTAGTTCCGGTGTCTTTAACGAACCCGCACTGTTCTTGGCCTGATACTGTTGCGCGCACTATTCTTCAGAATATGGATGATTAGTTTTGTTATGGGGCTCATTAGAAGGTGATTGTTCGATTGAATTCACCTTCGTTTGCCCCTGGTTTCTTAAGTAGTGCTATGAAAATAGATCGGCTGAGATTTTCCAGTCTCTAAAGACAGCCTGTTTTGATGAATCACAGCCTATCAGTGTGGCTAGACATCGGATTGTTTCAAGCCGGGATCGAAACTCGACCGATTTGGCATCAGTCAAATAATCTATGCCTCAAGTACGCATAATGGCCAAGTTTGGATAGATAAGTTGATAGATTAATCAGATTTAGATAGATAGATAGATAGAAATGAAGAGATTTGGGATAGATAGATAACTAGATAGATATGAAGAAACTAAGCTAGATATCAAGACACTGAGATAGATAGATAGATAGATAGATAGATAGATAGATAGATAGATATGAAGAAAATAACATAGATAGATAGATAGATAGATAGATATGAAGAGATTGGGATAGATAGATAGATAGATAGATAGATAGATAGATAGATAGATAGATATGAAGAAACTAAGCTAGATATCAAGACACTGAGATAGATAGATAGATAGATAGATAGATAGATAGATAGATAGATAGATATGAAGAAACTATGATAGATAGATATGAAGAGATTAGGATAGATAAATAGATATGAAGAAACTAAGCTAGATATCAAGACACTGAGATAGATAGATAGATAGATAGATAGATAGATAGATAGATATGAAAAAACTAACATAGATAGATAGATAGATAGATAGATAATCCATTACCTAGATTTACTAGAGAGTTTTCCAAAATTTATGAATGTTCGATATATTTTTCTCTTCCCTAAATCCCTTCCTCGTTTAAATGGAAGCTCAGTAATGCTAAAAATAAAAGTGCTAAAAAGCTCAATGAGATGGGATGCGTTTACAAATTTAGACACATCGGACATCAAAATTTAAATGTGTTGCCATTTCCTATCTTTAAACATTTCTGTGTAAATTCTAAGTGTCTGGTGTATTTTTTTCTTTGTTTGATTCCATCAATAAAACCATTATCTTGTCTGAAAACGTTTCCTGTTCGGGAGGAAGTACGTCACAATACAATTTCTTCGTCGTGTCACATACTTCCTCTCTCCCTCTCTCTCTCTCTCTCTCTCACACACACACACACACACATATAATTTGTTACTCATATATATAATAATTTATGATATATATATATATATATATATATATGTATATATATATATATATATATTGAAGATTGATATATTCATGAGGGAAAATACTATAGGGCTTACGGAGATATCCATAAATCTTTTCAACGCAGTTAATTTACAACCGATTATAATGAAACTATACTAAATATAAAACCGCAAAATAATTAAGTTATTAACAAAGATAACAAACTAGACTAAGATAAGATAACAATGACAACAAACTAGACTAAAACAACCAACTGATTCCTTAATATATACTATCCTTATCAACGTATCCAATTATAACCATATCAAATAATTGCAGCCACATCCAAAATTATTATGAATATTATCAGAACCCCACAATACCCATAACAATAATAATTCTGTAGCAAGTATATGCAAAATATGCTGTCACAACTGCTCTTCATAGTATATTGGTGAAACTTGCAGAAAATAAAAAAAACATATCTATGAACGCAAAAAAAGTATCTTAGACACAATTTATCAAAGAACTAAATTCAACTACAACATTGATCTTAAGAATGCCACAATTATTAAAAGAGAAAGAAAATTCTCGAGAGTGCTGTTATGGAATTTTATCAAAATATAAATCTGCATCCAGGATTTTTTTTTCAAATATCTCCATTCCTGAAAGAATTACTTCTTTCCAAAGCCAACATACATGACTATAAAAATGTTACAAAAATTAAAAGAAAACGGGTAAAATCATAAACTTATCTTATTTAAAATATAGAATACATAAATTAATCCCAAACTAAAGTAATTTAAATATTCAATCGCATAAAGTAAAATCAATAAACAAGTATTTCAAGAACATCATTTTCTCACTTTCGTTAAAGAGATATTAAATTATATCACTTAGTATTACGGGATCTTACCCATAATAATAATAATGGACTATTCCATACTTAATAAATACTGCGCCTCAGGAGTAGGCAAGGAGTCAGTAGTTCAAGTTTTGAACCAACTGCACGGTTGTACTCTCTTCCTACGGGCGGGAGGAACCTAAAGGAGGCTACGCCGAAGGGCGGAGTCCCTTCAGGGAGGTAAAACAGAACCCGTTTATACGGTTTCAAATGGGCTATTTTTTGGCCGAGCCTAATGGCTCGGAAATGCCCACGTTAAAAAGGCCTTTGTGCCATGACGCCCTCGTGGGGGGACGACTAAATATAGTCAGTAGTTCAAGTTTTGAACCAACTGCACGGTTGTACTCTCTTCCTACGGGCGGGAGGAACCCGAAGGAGGCTACGCCGAAGGGCGGAGTCTCCTTCAGGGAGGTAAAAAACCGGCCCAGAACCCGTTTATACGGGTTCAAATGGGCTATTTTTTGCCGAGCCTAATGGCTCGGGAATGCCCACGTTAAAAAAGGCCTTGTGCCACATGACACCCCGTGGGGGTGACTGAATATCGTCAGTAGTTCAAGTCTGAGGGTGGAGTCTCCTTCGGGAGGTAAAACCGCCCTGAACCCGTTTATACGGGTTCAAATGGGCTATTTTTTGCCGAGCCTAATTGCTCGGGAATGCCCACGTTAAAAGGCATTGTGCCACATGACACCCTCGTGGGGGGTTAATGAATATTGTCAGTAGTTCAAGTCTGAACCGACTATTCGGTTAAACTCTCTCCTACGGGCGGGAGGAACCTGAAGGAGCTACGCCGAAGGGCGGAGTCTCCTTCGGGGAGGTTAAATCGACCCTGAACCCGTTTATACGGGTTCAAATGGGCTATTTTTGGCCGAGCCTAATGGCTTGGGAATTGCCCACGTTAAAAAGGCCTTGTGCCACATGACACCCTCGTGGGTGGGTGACTGAATATCGTCAGTAGTTCAAGTCTGAACCGACTATTCGTTTAAACTCTCTTCCTACGGACGGGAGGAACCCGAAGGAGGGCTACGCCGAAGGGCGAAGTCTCCTTCAGGGAGGTAAAACCGGCCCTGAACCCGTTTATACGGGTTCAAATGGGCTATTTTTTGGCCGAGCTTAATGGCTCGGGAATACCCACGTTAAAAAGGCCTTGTGCCACATGACACCCTCGTGGGTGGGTGACTGAATATCGTCAGTAGTTCAAGTAGAGTCAGTAGTTCAAGTCGAGTCAAGAGTCGAGTCAAGAGTCGAGTCAGAGGCAGTCCAAAATAGAGTCACGTTCAGACAATTACTGCAAGACATTGGAATAGTGATACTGGTCGAGACTACATTGTTCTCCCTACTAAACCTGATTGTTCGTACTAACACTTCTACTTCTCTGTATATATTCCTGTTTGTAATATATCTGTGTTATTCCATACCTGTATTCGAGTTCTTCTTTATTGGTTCTACCTTGGACTATCACCGTGGTACAAGGAACAGGATCATAACACTTACCATCATCCATAATTTACCCAGACATTTTAATTTAACTTGATCAATAATTATGAGTGTCTACTAAATTTAACATTTTTTTCATAACAGTTTCACTTTTGTTTATAAATACTGATTGCGAAATAGAATCCTCCTATTTTCCCTCTTAAAGTCCATTGAAGGACGAATCGCGTCGGCTAAGATAAGTTTTTCTTTTGCCTTTATTCTATATATATATATATATATATATATGTGTGTGTGTGTGTGTGTGTGTGTGTGTGTGTGTGTTTATATATATAAGCTTTTTCATAAATATATATCTGTTTTTCACATTATATGTGTTGTGGACTGGTTTCACAGTGGAGGCTTGTATTTGTACTAAGTCGGTCCTAAAATAGGTTCGACGTACAAAACGTTAGGAACTTGATATAATAGGTAATGACGCAGAGAAATCTAGTTGTGGTCGCTGATACTTTTAGTATCCGACCTATGGTCGTCCGGCATCGACTGACTGACCGAACTCACGAGCGACCCCTCGTTACTCTTACTACTCCTACTTATTATAGGTGGGAGAGTCTATTAACTATAGAATAGGTGTGTTCCACTATAACATCCCCCACTAAAACTTTATTTATTTTTCATTTTTTACAGGAAATATGAAGAAAAAACAACAAAGAAAAAAAAATCGTAGCAACATCGTAGTGTATTTTCTACGTTTTTTGATCCACTTTTAAATGATCAGTTGCCTTTCTTTTTTTCTTCTGTATCGGCGTACCTCAGGTAAAATTGTTGCAGGCGTTGTTAAATCAAACGTATCGAAAAATCACCTCCATCGGCGTTTTTTTCCGCGGGACCGCTGTCAACAACGCCAGAAAAACGTCGGCTGATCTGGTTACTGCACGTGAATTTTTCGCCTTTCACCAAGTACATCATATAGCCAATCCGCTTTTCTATTTTTTTTTTTTTATATCTCCATAGTGTTACCAGAAACCAGTTTTTCTCGGTGTCAATTTCATCTTTACTTTCGTATATCATCGGTGTTACCCATTCAACTTTTTTAAATACACCGGTATTCTCTAATCTGTCCAATTGTTTATCTATCTGTTCAATTGAAGCAAACAGCACATTCCTTTTCTTTTTGAATACCGCCTGAGCGTTTTCTTTTGGCTGGAATTTTACTTCCATCTTGGTACACGTTCCCAAACCTGGAGAAAAAATCAGTAGGAAATGTTCCCTTAAGTTTCTTTACTAATTTTTGGGCTTCTGAGTTTAAACTTTCAAACTTGGAACAGAATGAATTTATCGGTAGATCCCATAATTGAAATTCTTTTATCCAATTCGTACCAAGTAAGTTCGTGGTATTTTCTATGACAAATAGGTTAGCTTTTCGCGTATTTTTTTTATTTAACGTGACGTTTGTAACAAATTCTCCAATAAATTGTATTTTTTCTCCCGTCACTGACCTATTATTTGTCTTCATTAAAGTTGGTTTCCCCAACTTCTTCCACGTATGCAAATTTATGATAGATATGTCGGAACCAGTGTCGAGTTGATTTTTATTTTTTTATTACTTATTTCGACGGTAACAAATTTTCTGGTTATTCCATCGTTCACCTCGTCGGACTTTAATTTTCTTATTTTATTGTCTTTATTTTTTGACCTGCAGTGTGAGCTTTTATGACCCACTCTTTTACAGTTGAAACATTTTTTATTCCTAAAATTGCAATATCTGTACCAGTGAAGTTCACCGCAAGCAAAACATGGCTTCGGGAGTTTTTGTTTATTTTTCTCTGGTATTTTCACTTTTTGGTAGACTGATTTTCTTTTTTGTAGCGTATTTTCCTTACATGCGAAACGCCAGACTGTTCTATCTTTTTCAAATCTTTTTTTACGCTAACATATCTTGTGCAGTCTTCTGCCAACTTCTGTATCGAAATCTTTGGTTCGTTTTCTAATTTTGACAGCACTAAATTTCTCATCTCTCGTCTCTTTCCGATACCATCCCTTGAACAATCACTAAGCACTTAAAATTGTCAGCGCTTAACTCTGCTAGCTTGAATTCTTCACAATGCTTATTCACATTGGCTGCGTACGTTATATAGTCTTGTTCGTCATCATTCATCAGATTCAAACATTTCCACCTCTTGTGAAACAGAGATGTCTTTTTACTAAATAATTCACTTAATATATTTACCACCTCCGTAAATGTCAACTCGCTAGTTTTTTT